TGGGAACAGACGTTGTTGGAGGAACAAGTGAGTTAATATCTATGAGACACTTAGAACAGCAACTGGTGCCTGGTTTCTATCCTGGATGTGTTTTCTGATGTTGACTGGGGTTGAGTAACATCAGAATATCTTCCCCCACACACTGGATTCACAGCATTTTTCTCTAACATGAACTCTCCAATGCCCACAAAGGGATGGATTGTTTCCAGTGTTCCCTCCGTTCACTGGCAGTGAGTCCGCATTCCCGTCTCTCCAGATGGATTTTCTGACGTTGAGTACATGGGTTTGTCTGAATGGTGTCCCTTAGGAGGGCTGTTCATGCTGTTGCCTCCGGCTCATTTCATTCGTCTTCCAATACAGGCTTCGTGACTTTGGACAAGTTACCTCAGATCTCTGATTCTCAGATTTCTCCTCTGATTTAATGGAATATTTAGATGGAATAGTACGATATCTTAATGCTTGTGAGTGCTTACTTAGCTCAGCACCTGGCTCATCTGGAGTGCCAAGGTTCTTTTGGAATTTCTCTGACTTGGCTACAATAGGATCATTTGTCAGCAGGGATCTTGGTAAACTCTGCCCACAGAGCCTGGTGTTGAAAGGCTGTATGAGTGTTTAGTGGATTGGTGAATAATAAACAGGAGGGCCATGCTTCAATGCTGAGCAGAGGCTGTTTGGAGTCTATAGTTGTGTTCCTGGCTTAGCCAGATGGTGACCAGGGCCCTGCCCCTATGAAGCACTTTCCTAAGGCCAGTGTTCATTAATCCTGGCAGTCAAAGAGAAGCTCCGAGGGAAAACCCTAGAGTCCACTCGCCCACAAAAAAGGCTCATCACTTTCATCTTTTCCAACTTTATCCATCCTTCTCTCGACTAATTTTTTCTTAGGGCATCCACTCAATGACATTTAACCTGTATATCTTTACTGGGTATTTAACCTGTATTTATTTACAGGCACCTTGTGATGCCCCATGAATCCAGTGTCAATAACACAAAGAAGATCTGTACTTTCATTTAAGTTAAATAAGTGAAGCAGGGCCCTCCCTGTTGGCGCAACGGGGTAAAGCACAGCACTATGAAGCTATTGCAGCCACTGCAGCATGAATTGGATCCCAGCCAGGGAGGTGACCCACATGGTACGGCAGGCCTTTCCTGACCCAACCACTGGTCCCCTCAGCAGTGTATTTCAGTCCATCTGACTGTTCTGCTCCCCACTTTGTCACTAGTGAATCCTCTCACCCCCTCCCCAAACCTCTCGCCTGTACCCCAGTTCTTGTATGCATAAATAAATAAATCTTTGGGGGGGAAAATTGACAATAAAAAAATAATAGGCCCTCTCTGGTGGTGCAATAAGTTAGGATGCAGCACTGCAAGCTAGTGGCCGCCGCTTCAGTGTGAGTTCAATCCCCAGCCCCGGAGGTGACCCCACAGGGCACAGCAGACCTCTCCTGACTGGTCCACTGCTCCCCTCAGATTACTTCATTAATCTACCTGTTCAGCTGCCCACTCTGTCTCTGGTGAATCCTCTCACCACCCCTGCACCTCTGGCCTGTACCCTAGTTCTGTATGCATAAATAAATAAATCTTAAAAAAATAGTAAGGGAAGCAGAGGTGACAGACATTGTGAGAACCACAATGTGACTGTGACTTGGGACACTCTGAGTGTGAGCTGCGCCATCTAACCCAGACCTGGGGCTCATCAGGGAAGACTCCCTAGAGAAGGAGGCTGCTGAGCACAAGACAGTACAGCAGTTCTAATGGCTGACCTGACACAGAGACACAAGTGGGCGTGGGGTGGGGGGTTGAGGGTCGGGGAGGGGACCTGAGGAATCGCAATCCCAGACACTGGATTGTAAAATCACAAAACCAAAGGTTAATATTAAGGGATTTTAGTCACAGGATTCATATTTGTTTATTTCACTTAAATTTTTCCCAGACTCTCCTTTCAGCAAGACTTGAGATGCATCTCGTTAAGGAAGCCCTGACATCTTTACAAAGTAATTTATACTTATTGTGCAATATGGTGTGGGGGGGGGAAGAAGTGAATAGATGGGTGGAGGGAAGTTCTTTCAGCCCTGCTGATATGTAGACACATTTCCTTTCATTCATTTTTGTTTGTTTCCAATTTTTTTCAAGCTGACATATAATTTATGTACCATGATGTTCACAGTTTTAGTGTAAAATTCAATGGCTGTTAGTATATTCACCCTCATGATCTAATTCTAGAATGTTTTCATCCCCCCAAATGTAGTTCCTGTCCATTAGTAATTACTTCTCTCTCCTCCCACCAGCCCCTGGCAGCCTTTCTGTCTCTATGGATTTGTCTATTCCGAACATGTCAGAATCAAACAACTTACAGTCTATTGTGCCTGATATTTGTCTCTTAACAATATTTTCAAGGTTCATCCATGTCGGAGCATGAACCAACATTTAGTTCTTATTATGGTTGAGTAATATTCCACTGTATGTCTAGATCATATTTTTAAATACACTCATCAGTTGGTAGACATTTAGTTTTTTCTTTTAACCTTTATGATTATTATGAATAATGCTCCTAGTGAACATTTATGTACAAAGTTTCATGTGAACATCTTTTTCAGCTCAGATATAATGTTGGGGAGTCTACCATCCTTCATTTACATGTCAATATCTGGCTCTCTTGGCATTGCTTGTCGGAAAGACTGTTTCCCCTGTTGACTTGTCTTGGTTTCCTTGTCAAAAATCACTTGACCACAAATATATGATTTTTGTTTTTCTTGACCCTTAGTTCCATCCCAGTGACTTATAGTCCATCTTTGTGACTGTATCACACAATCTTGGTTGCTGTAGCTTTGTAGTAAGTTTTAAATTAGGAAGATATGAGTCTTGCACTTTGTTCTATTGTTTTTCTCAAGATTGTTTTGACTGTTTAGAGTCTCTTGTATTTTCTACTTATGAATTTTAGATTTAAGCCACCAATTTCTGCCAAAGAGCCATCAGAATTTTTATGGGATTTTGCATTGAGCCTATAGATCAACTTGAGGGGCATTTTAACATTTAAGTCTTCTCATTCTTTCTTTCGGTGTTTATTGAACATAAAGTTGAGCTTGTGCCAAATACACTGCTTTTATTCCTGATTTTTTCTGCTTAATATTCCATCGTAGGCATTTCTTTGTGTTCTGAAAGATGCAAGCATCGTTTTAGTGCTCTGTAATATTCAATCATTTGAATTGCTCAAATGTTTGATTGTTCCCCACAGAATTATAAACTTTTCGTTATTGGGTAATAAATCATGAAAGGAACTTTGTTCTGGGTCCCTTGTGATACAGGCTTCTCCCTGCAGAGATAACTAGATATGGGGAGGACTGGTAGCTCATAGAAGTTTATCAGAGTATTAATGTCAAAGTTGATCAACAGGTACCCCAAGCTGCAGGCAGGGAGTGGGGCATGATGGGAAGCCAGCATCCTGGTTAGTGGAGAGCTGATTTCCTGCCCACCTGGCAGGACCTTCGTGATGGAATGGAAGCAGATACTGTTAGGACATGTTCGGGCTTGAAGGCAATAGATTAAAATAAAAAAAAAAATTTTTTTAGGGCCGTCCCTGGTGCAGCGGGTTAAAGCACTGCACTGAGAAACTAAAGCCACTTCACATGAGTTCGATTCCCGCCTGCCCTAGAGGTGACCACATGGTGTGGCAGACCTCTCCTGACCTGCCTGCTGCTCCCCTCAGCAGTGTACTTCATCGATCTGCCTGTTCTGCTTCTCACTCTGTCTGTGAAGCCTCTCACCACCCCTGAGCCTCTGGCCTGTACCCCAGTTCAGTATGTACAAATAAAATAAATCTTTAAAAAAATTTTTTTAAATTGCAGGTGAAATTCATTTCATTGTAACTCAGTGAACCAGAAACAAAAGTTTCACTCCTAATACTTTTTCTATCAGTCGAGAGAATCTGATGTGCTATAGTAACAATCCCCCAATTTTAGTGGTGCCAAGAGATTTCTTTCTCACTGTCCTGTGTACTGGATAGCAGGGAGCCAGGGGACTTGGGTCACTGGAGGCTCCCCTATCCAGATCATTGCAGTGTCCACGGTAGAGGGTGTAGTAGACAAGAGAACCATCCCCCCAAGAAGTCTCTCTTGCAATTATGGAAACTTTGACGACGTTATATTCACAACAAAGGGAAGTTACAGTTGAGGGTGGAATTAAGGTTGCTAATCAGTTGACCTTAAAATAGGAGCTAGATGTACTCATGTAGGTCTTTAAAAGAAGAGGCGGTCAGGGTGGTGCAATCTGGTAAGAACTGAAGCTGATGTTGCTGCCTTGGGCAGGAGAAAGAGGCCATGAGTCAGGAGATGTGAGTAGTCTCTAGAAACTGGAAAGAGCAAGGAAACATAGACTCTGCGAGCCCCCAGATAGGAATGGAATGCTGCCAACAGCTTGACTTTAACCCAGTGAGGTCCACTCTAGGCTCCTGAACTACAGAACTGTACGGTAATATGTTTATATTGTTTGAACTACTGAGCTCGTGTTCATTTGTTACGGACACTGTAGATAATTAACACAGGGCATGGGGACATCATACATCAACGCGTCCATGCTTCTGTCTGGAAGTGACATGTGACACACTTCTCTTTCTTCCTTAGCCAGAGCAAACCACATGGAGCCTGCCTGACTCTATAGGACTGTAGGAATTTGATTGACCCTAATGCCAGCCTTAGACGGGTTTGGAATGCTGGTAAATATTGTGGTATCTACTATACTCTTGCCATCTGGAGCTCAGGCTTAGGTTTCTGTTTACAAAACAGCAACATGCTGGGGGCAATCTTAAGTCGATTTCATTATGGGTTGATCGTGGTGACCCCTGGTTTGAAAATCTGCTCTGCAGCCCCTCTTCTGCCCAGGTCTCCTGGATCACATGACATACACTAGGCATAGCTGATTGGCTGGGACGTGGGGCACCTGACCAAAGTTGACCAATCAAATTTTTCTCCCGGGAATTTGACAATTGGGCCATTCAGCTAATTAACAGTTGGAAGCTTAGCAAGAGGCAGAGCAGAGGCAGGGTTAGAGTGCGAGCCGCATGCCAGCCAAAATGATGGAGGAGCAGAATAGCCCTGAGTAAGCAGAGAGTTGGTCCACACAGACAATGGAGCGGCAGCACAGAGAGCATTACCGTCAGGAGAACATGCAGCCCCAGAGGGAGAGGTGGAGAGAGCGCGCAACCGCCTGACAGTCTGATGGCTTCCCTGTTCCTGCCTCCAGCCCCCGTGCGTCCTGCCTGCGCATCCTTCCCGTGAGATTTCCCTCCTTTTGCACCCCCTCCTCCTTTCATTGGTGGGCTTCTGTCCCTTGTCCGAGCTTAAGTCAGCGAGAACACTGCAGGCATTTCTCCCAGGGGAACCACCTTCGGTTCTCAGGATCAGGCTTGTGGGTGTAGATGGGACTCGGGGTGAGCCCGAGTTTTTCCACAGTCTGGAAGTTCGGCTTATGTGTTTGTTTGCTTTTCAAAGTGGACAAGTGGAAGCCATCTGCGTGGTGCTGCACTTGTGGGACCTACGGCAGCCCCCGGACAGGGGTCCTGCTGGGGCAGGAAGCCAGGGAGAGCTTGGCTGTGCGGCAGAGTGGAAAGGACTGACTGAGCTGCAGGGATAGGGAGTCATGGTTCGCCTCTCGGAGCCTCCATTTCCTCATCTCTGAAATGGGATTACTGAAGGCTTAGCAGGGTTCTGGGAAAATCAGAGATAGGAGGAGGGCCCTATCTCTGGACAGGTTTTGGGGGAGGGGTCCTGCTGTCTGAGCACACCCCCAGTGGCCTGGCTACTGCAGGAGGGGAGCCCTGGCCATTGAGTTCCCACCGCTGGCCGGGCTTCCTGTCCCTTGTCATCCTCACGCTCCTTGTCCCTTCCTTGTCCTTTCGTTCTTCCTCTTCCACTCCATCCCCTACGCTCCTTTTCCCTCTTTTCAACACTGGCCTGATGTGGACTTAAAAAAGCACCTGCTTTAGGAAAGCAGCAGGGTTGGATATAAAGTACCAGCCTCTGGAGGCAAAAGAATTGGGTTGGAATCCTGACGCAGACTGGGTGGCTGAGTATTCCTAGGCAAATTACTACACCTCTCTGAACCTTGAGGTCATTATCTTAAAAATGGGGTTTATTACACATTTCACTGTGCTGTTAGATGAAGTAATAATTAGACACTCAGCAAATGTTTCTTCCTTCCCCCCTCCCTTCTCAACGTTCCTTCAAGCCTGGTCCCCAGCCCGACCTGGGTCTTGGAGGGGACAGGTGCCCCTTGTCCCTCTCAGGGATCACTGAATGGCTTTACCTACTTACTGGGGCTGTCAGGCCTTTGCGGTCTCTCCTTTCCCTCCGATCTGTTCCTTTTCCCGAGGGGTGGACTGAGGTTTTTGAGAGCATCTGGGGTCCCCGTGGCCTGGGCCACTTCTCTGGTCTCTGCAGGTCCAGCCTCAATGTGGTTGCTTCTGGTTCATGTGATCTGTATATATTTTTTTAACTTTAGCAGTTATTACACCCTACTCAACTGTGACATCTTCACACTCCAAACACTGATAAATATTTATGAAGAACAGAAAGGCCCAGCGCTCCTTGGGGAGGTGGGGGAGGGATGTGCCAGGCCCTCCATTGCAAGGAAAGCTCAGACCCAGTGGTCCCATGGGCTTCAAAATAAGGGGGGCAGGCCAGGGGCTGTGGAGGCAGCACAGAGCCAGCGCCCCACACCTTTCCCTGTGACACTGTGGGTCCCACCCCACCTTGTGCTGAGTGCCTGTTGGGCCTGATTCTTCTGGGGGAGGACACAGGCTGTGGTTCACAGGACCGCTCTGTAGCTCTGTGTCGCCCTGTCCCTCTCGGTGACTGCTTCTCTCTCTCTCTCTCTCTCTCTCTCTGTTTGTCCTCTGTCCAGCTCTCATTCTGTCTTTTCTTTTCACACGTGCAGGGCCTGCATCCCTCCCCTCCCTCCCCTCTCTGCCCATCCAAACCCATCTCTCATCTCTGGGTCTCTGTCACTTATTTCATTTTTTCTTTCCCAGTATAACTCCAGATGGTGGGGGATTGCTGAGGGGTTCTTAGATCCCAGGCCCTGCTGGAGGGACAGGGCAGCGGGGGAGCTTCTGGGATCCGTGGTGCACTGGGAAGGCTGAGTGGGAGCTGTGGGCCACACCTATGCTGACTTCTCTGCGTGCACACCCCCCATCCCCTTCCCGGCCTCATTTCCTCAGTAGATTCCTTTGCTAATTTATTCATTCACCCGTGCAGTTACTATTTAAGCGTGCTTGTTACCTGCCACGTATTAACACAGATTTATTAAACACCTACAGGCCTCTCTATCCCAGCCCTTCTGGGTGCTGGGATACATCCGTGGACAAGAGACAGACCATCTGCTCTTGTGACATGTTAGCAAAGCAGACAGGCATAAATGTAATCAGCAGATCAGTTATGGAGTAGGTGAGAAAGTGGAGGGTGGCGAAGGCAAAGGCAAAGGAGAGCGGGAAGGACTGGGGGTACCAGGGCACAGAGGATGGGGTGCTGTGGGGGGAGAGCAGTCCCAGGAGGGGGCTGCCAGAACAAGGGGCGTGAGGCGGGAGCCACCCTCGTATGCTGGAGGACAAGGGTGAGGTGGCTGGAGGAATGGGAGGTGACCTTGGAGGTCCAGGCGGGGCAGGCGCCAGAGGGCAGGCACTGCCTGGCATGGATCAGGTGGACTTGGTGCAGACTCACCTCCTGAAAGGCACCGGCCTGCTGTGTGGTGACAGACTGAGGGCTCCATGCTGGAGCCCAGTCATGGTGGCTCGGGGGTGGGGGCTAGTGAGCCATGGGGAGCTCTCATTGTGCCAGGCACTGTCCTGCCTTCCCCCTGGGTGGTGCCACTCGGGCCCCTTGTCCGGATATGCTAACCCTGAGCTCTCCTTTCCGCAGGGTGTTCAAGAAGGCAAGCCCAAATGGAAAGGTGAGTCTGTAAGGGGTCCTGCCCACCCCTCCCTGCCCCCAAACTCTTGTGTTCTCTCTTGGGCATCTCCACAGGGCAGGCAAACCCCCACCTCATCTGAAGGGGACATAGCTGTACCCACAGGCATCCTGGGGCCACAGTGGGTGGCCCCACGTACTCAGGAAGCTTCCCCCGGGGATGGGTACAGCTCCCCTGGACGTTAGGAACCCCCTTCTCTGGTATGGGGAACCTGGGCCCGTCAGAGAGCTACTCCAGTGCAAATGAGTAATTAGAATAAGTGCCAGGGGTCTCAGGGGACTCCCCCAGAGTCTCTGCTGAACCCAGTTGTTGCCGGTTATCCAGGGCAGTTCCCAGTGCCTGTCCCGCTTGCTCTCTTTTACAAGCCTCAGGCTCCATCCTGCCTTCCTCTCACTGCAGCCGGTAGACGCTACTGACATCATGTCGGGGTGAAGGGAGGGGGTGGCGCAGGGCGTACTGAGATTGATAAGGCACAGCCTGTGCTTCTCAGCCAGACACAGAAATGAAGCTTTTCAATAGAAAGTGGCAAGTGTGAGATAAAGGATGCCCGAGGGCTGTGGGGCCCAGCCGGGCAGTCAGAGCTGGCTTCCCCTACTGAGGGGTGCGTTCTGGGCAGGGCAGGGTGGACGGGGCGTGCTAGGTGGGGAGCCTGTGAGATCACAGCAGTTGCATCTGCCAAGAGGGAGGCAGGGGGAGAGAATGGAGGTTGCAGGGCTGAGTCCTTGGGACTCCTGCCTGGGCTGGCAGACAGCACCCCTGGTACCCCGTGTCCCCCTCCTGCGTCCACGACAGACATCGCCAGTCGCCCTTTCCCCTTCCCTGCCCAGCCAGGATCCATCTTCGATGCCTTCTTAACTCAGGGCCCGTGCAGGTCCTACCAATCGATGAGAGCTGGCATTTGGAGTAGTACACACTTGTCATCTACCCTCTGGGCACTAAGGAGCCATTAAAGGATTTCAGACCAGAACAGCAGGGCTTGCATGTTAAGACTTCCAGCCTGGTTAGGGAGGGCAGAAGGCCGAGTGTGAGGCCGAGGTACAGGCCATGGCCGGGCGGTGAGCAGTCCAGGCTAGAGCGGCTGTGGGGACGGCGGGGAGGTGGGAGGCAGGTTGGAGAGGTGACGGAGGGAGAGACAGATGTAGGGCAGTGGAGGAGGAGGACGCCACTTTGCATTCTAGCTTGGGAGCTCTTCCCTGAAGGCTGACTTCCTGGTGAATTCCTCATCCCAGTGGATTCCTGCCATACTACCCAGGGGTGGGGGAGCATTGAGAGCATGTTTCCCAGGGCTCCATGCCCTTCCCTTCCGCTCCCCTGCAGAGGTGGGCCCAGCACTCCTGCTCAGCAGAGACTTCTTTGCTGCTGTGCATGAAGACCTTTCCTGCCTCAGTGTCCTCATCTGTAAAATGGGAATAGTAACAACTTCCTCAGGGTTTGGGTTGAGCGCAGGTTTGTTATTCTTTGTATCTGGGCGGGGGCTTGGTTCAGGTCTGGTGAGGATTTCTGTGAGAGTGGAATATGGGCCCCGGAGTTTCAGGGGCAGCCCCAGGGTGCTCTCCAGGGGCACGAACCCACAGCTGCTCAGCCTCCAGGTCCACAGCTGCTAATGTCCCCTGTGCCTCTCTTCCCCAGCTCACCGTCTACCTGGGAAAGAGGGATTTTGTGGATCACATCGACCTCGTGGACCCTGTGGGTGAGTCCCTGGAAGCCAGAGAGGAAGGAGGGGAAGGCAGCGCTGGCAGCTCCCTTCTAGAAAACAGTGTGGAAGCCACTAGGATTAGCCCTGGTGCCCAGGGAGTGGGCCCAGGCACTGGGGTGGAAGTGGCTTCCTGCTTCAATCAGAAAACCCTTACGGAGCATCACTACTTCTCCATTCAACTGAGAGGAAATAATGAGACGTCCTGAGGGGAAAAGAACTAAGGTGTCCTAGTGACAATAAGGAAGATGAGGATGGTGGCAGCAGCTGCTGCTTCGGCTTTTGGAGCTACTGTGGTAGCCACTGTTATTATCCCTGCCTCCCATATGAGGTAAGGCTCAGAGAGGTTAAGGGACTAGCTCGCTCCAGGTCATGGAGTAGGTAGACTGAGGAGCCCAGATTCTACCGTAAGCAGTTTGGCTCCATATTTGCTGCCTCCTGCGGGCAGCTTGAGGGATGGAAGGAAAACTTAAGGCCTGTGAAATGGAGGCGTCTTTACTGACTCGAGGATCTTGCCATAGGCTGGGTGTGGCTAAAGGCACCTAGGAGGTCTTATTCTTTCTAATTCTGGGTTTCTGTGTCAGCATTCTTGACATTTGGGATTGGATAGTTCTTCCTTGTGGGGGCGCTCCTGGATGTCACGGGAGACTTAGCCGCATCCCTGGCTATGCCCATTCGACACTGGGAGTGTCCCCATCTCAGTATGATGTAGGGGTGCAGAAGATCCTTTCCCTCACGCCTCTGGATTCCTCCCAAGCTGGTTGAGTGATCAAATTAGCAGCCAATAGATTAGTAGAAAAAAGAATGAAATGTAATTACATTTGTATGAAAAATCTACGAGGATGTGGATGCTAAAGACAACAGAACAGAAGAGGGTAAATACGGAGCTAAGGAGAGGGGGCTGGAGAGAGGAGGGGCTCGCGTGTTGGGGTGCGTGGAGGAAGGCCAGGGGCTCTGTGTTTACGTGTTTGCTGGCCATGTAGGTCAGTTTCTCCATTTCTGATAAAAATCCTGATCTGGCTAATGCCTCCAATGTTCATTCTTCTGGTAGTTGAAGGAGTGGTCAGAGTTCCCTTGTGAGCCTGTCAGGCCTGAACTGACCCCAGATTGAAATAATGCATATGCCAAAGAGACGAGTCTTGGAAGACGTGTCTGGACATCCTGGAAGTCTGGTCCTTCAATGTCAATCAAAAATGATTTAGACATTGCCAAACATTGGGGAGGGGGCACAACTACCCCAGCACTACCCCTAAGATGTATCACTCTTGCTACGACTGAGTGAGGGAGACCCAAAATTATGCGTATGCTCTAGATGAGGATGGTGAGCCTTACGTGAAATAACTTCTTCAGAGGCACATGAAATGAAAGAAATGGGACCAAAGGAGGTGACAGTTTAGGAGAATGTCTCTAAAGACTGCAGGTGAGGAAACTGGGGTGTGTTGCTTGGGGAAAAATTGCAGAGGATGACCTCTGTCATCCCATCCGAGGGGGTGTCCTGGGGCCAGGAGTGGCCTGTGGCTCCGGAGCAGGGCACAGGTGCAGGGGGACTCGAGTGAGCACAGTGCAGGTCCCAGCGGGCTGGGAGGGGGCCTTGCATCGGCAGGAGGGAGTGTGGGGGGAGGCTAGAGCCAGGTCTTAAAGCACAAGAAGGGTCATCAGTTACATGGCAAAAGGCAGCGCGAGACGGGCGGCGGGAAGATCACCCCTCATGGGGCGGAGGGGACCCTTTAAGAACATCCAGCTCCTCTCTAGGGCCTTCCCTTCTTGGCCCAGAGCAGGATGACCCCACTTGCCCTCCTACCAGGCTTCAGGGACACTTCAGCATCTTTGAAGCTCAGTGTCGCCTTTTGCCATTGTATTTCCTTCCTGAACTGGCTCTCAGAGCTAGGGAGCAACATCCTGGTGTTCTCCTGTGGCCTGTGGAAGGAGAAAACCAGCGACTCCTACACACACACACACACACACACACACACCCCTCCCTGAACCTTGAAAGTGGGAGCACCTCCGTTCTACCAGGCCTTGTGCTGGGTCCTGGGGATCCCAGAGAGCTCTGGGGTGTTGTCCAGAGTTCATCAAATGACTCTCAGTAAGAAATACCACATGGGTCAGGTTATGTCTCCTGATGCTTACGAACTCCCCATGGTTCCCTTCAAACCCAACGGCAAGCCCACGCCCCTGCCCTGGGGCTCCCCTTCCTCCGCCCCATGTGGGGTGCTCCTCCAATCCCGCTACTGCCTTGTGCTGCCTTTTGCTCAAGTAATTGATGAGTCCTCCTGTGCTTTAAGACCTGGCCTAGCCTCCCTCCCCCACCACTTCCTTGACAGGCCTGGTTGGGGGTGCCCTTTCTGGGAACCCCACTGAGCCCCAGTGCCTGGGCCCACAGGAAATGCCTGCAGTACTTGGAGGAAGATGCATGGCCAACTGGGAGGGGTGGGCCCGCCCCTGACCTGACAGGGGAGAGAGAATGAGTGAGGATGAGGTTCAGTAGGTGTGGCTGGCTGGTAGAGTTTCCCAGAGATGGCCGGGGGTGTCAGGCAAGGTGGAGACCCCTGAGCCAGTGTTTGTGGCTCTCTGGGTTCTGGGCACAGCCAGGTGCACAGCAGGACTCTGCATGCCCAAGGCAGGCCGAGGGCCATGCGGCACCCACGCCAGCGTGGCATAGCACTTCTCCCGCACCTGACGCTCACTCTGTCCTCACAGGAGCCCTAGAGATGGGCACTACAGGACTGCCATGCTGATCTGCACCCCCGAGCCTGAGAGCGTAAAATTGTTCTAAGGTTTGAAGGAAAATGTGGTTAGTGGCAGAACTTGAACTGATAGGAGTCTGTTTTGCCTTAGCCTCTTGGCGAGAATATTCGCGACACCCTGTGGAGGTGTGAGTGTGTTTGATCCCGGGGTGCTGCGTCAGACCCTGCAGAGAGTGTGGCAGGACATTCGGAAGATGGACCATACGGCATGTCTATGATTCAGAACTTCTGTGCTCCAAAATAAACCTGATAATAGAAGTTTTGAGCCCAGGGTATTGTCCTTACTAACAGATGAAGAAACAGGGGAGTGAAGGACTATGCCCGAGTCACCAGCTGGTTCTGCCAGGCCAGCCTGGGGGCACAGGGGAGGCAGAGTGGAGAGGAGGCTGGGAGGAGGGCCGGGCTCTGCCCCCAGAGCCGGCCTCCCCACTGCTCTCACGGTGGTCTGGGTGTGGCTGGCGTTTGGGAGGTCCAGTTGGTGGGTCTGCTCACGCTCTGTCCTTCCTGCAGACGGTGTGGTCCTGGTGGATCCTGAGTATCTCAAGGAGAGGAGAGGTGAGGTTGTGCCTGCCCCCACCTGCCCAAAGTCTCCCCTTCCTCCACCAACTTCCGCCCAGGCCTCTCTGACTCGCACTGGCTATTCTTACTGCCTCCCCTGCCCAGCCCTACCAGTTCTTCCCTGGATAGCCCCAGTGAACATCAGATCTCCAGTGACCTTGGGCTGGGCCAGCCGCGCCCCCTCCACCTCGGGAGAGCCTTTTCAATGCCCCAAGCACTTGCCCATCAACATATCATGGCATTACAAGGCTGGAGATGACAGCAGGGCAGGAGTTAGGGTCTCATTTTATAGAAGAGGACGTTGGTTCTTGGCAAGGTGAACGGATTGTCTCAGGTCAGTGTGAAGACAGGAGGTAGGAGTTGGGCTGGACAGGACCCCAGGCCTCCTGGACGCCACCCAGCAGTCAGCATCCATCTCCTGGCAGGGGCCAAGCCCTGGTCGCCCTTCCCAGTGCCCAACGCCTCAGGGGCAGCACAGCCCTCCCCAGGAGAGCTTAGGCACAGACCTGGGGCCTGTCAGGTCAATCTCAGGGCTACAGCTGGCACTCTGGGGGGACTGCGTGCTGCTCCTCATGCCCCCCCCCATGCCCCTGTTCCCACAGTCTATGTGACGCTGACCTGCGCTTTCCGCTATGGCCGAGAGGACCTGGATGTCCTGGGCCTGACCTTCCGCAAGGACCTGTTTGTGGCCAACGTGCAGTCCTTCCCGCCAGCCCCCGAGGACAAGAAGCCCCTGACTCGACTGCAGGAGCGCCTCATCAAGAAGCTGGGCGAGCACGCCTACCCTTTCACCTTTGAGGTCAGTGACTGCCGGCCCTGGGGCCATTCCAGAGGCATCACTCTAGGAAGCCCTCGGGTGGGCACACGGGGGGCGGGGGGGGGGAGCTTGGGCAGCCGCTGGGCGCCCAGTTGTCCAGGGAGTGTTGGGGTCTGACACTCTCACACTGCCTGGTAAACGTCTCTTCTCTGGTCACTACCAGGGGGTCACCCTTAACCGCTGGGCTCCTTCAGGTCACTAGCAAGCTATCTCCTCCCTCAGGCCAGCTACCTGCTAAGTGCCAGGCACGTGCCCAACTCAGGAACGAGGACTGCCAAGTAGTGGATTTCCCTGTCCTGCCATCCAAGATTCTGGGTTTTAAAGCGACTCGCCTCTCAGACTCTGAGTCTGTGATTCAGTGAAATCCTCTCCCTCATTTTCCGTGAGAGTCTACGAGTCATCCTCACCATTGTAGATGGATTAGTTTCCTACTGCTGCTTGACAAACCACCCCAAACCTGGTGGTGAAACACACTGATTAAAACAACACAAATGTATCACAGTTCTGGGGCTCCGAAGTGAAAAATGGGTGTCAGCCGGCTAAAGTCAAGGTCTGGGCAGCGCTGGGTGCCTGCCCACACTGGAGGACAGACTCCGTTTCCTGGCCTTTACCAGCTTCTGGACACACTCCATTCCTTAGTGTAGACCACACCCCTCCATTCTTTGACTCTGGGCCACGCACCCCATCTTCCAAGCCATCAGGGCCAGTTTTCCATCCATCATTTCCACCCTGGTTCTTCTGCTTCCTGCTGCCACTGTTAAGGACCCTGGGGACTCCGTCTTCCCCACCCGGATGAGGGCCCATGGCAAGACCCTTGACTTAATCACACCTGTAAAATCTCCTTCACCACATGGGTAACATAGTTGCAGGTTGGGGGCTCAGGGCATGGGCATCTTTGGGGGCTGTTAGTCTGCCTCCTGCAGAAGACTTCATGGAAAGACCTTTATCAACTCTTCTGTGAGCACTGGGCTGGGATAAGCCCAGCAGGTAAAGGAAAACACTTCACCCAACTTGCCGGGAAAAGCTTCTGACTCCATCGGGACACAGCTTGGCATGGTCTGATGGGGGAGACCATGGTCTGTCCTCTGGAGCCCCTAGTCTGATGGAAGAGGCATGGCCTGTCGTTGGGGGGCATGGTCTGATGGACATGTGGGTGGTGTGGGTGAGACTTGGGGAGGTTGGTGTGAATGTGCCGGGGGCTCATTCTGTCTGTCCCCTTACCAGATTCCTCCGAACCTCCCATGCTCTGTGACGCTGCAGCCGGGACCCGAAGACACAGGGAAGGTGGGTCACCTCAAAGGGAACCTCTCTCTGGGTCCAGGACTCTGGTGTCCCCTGCCTATGATTTGCTCTCTGGGAGGTGCTAGAACCTTCCTTGTTCACGCCTGGGTCAGAACCATCCCACTTCAGAGAAGCAGTCAGGGTGGGGGGTGGCTGGTTGTTACCCTCCATGCCACCTTCAGTGACGAGCCAGAGGCTCTCCTGAGATGTTCCCGGCCTCAGTGTTGGCTGTGACGGGGCCACCACCGACCTCACATTCTCATATTCGAGGTGCATCATCACCGTCCACAGGAAGGTACTGAGGCTGGGGGAGTTGTGACACCACAGCTGTCCCAGGCCCCAGACTCTGAGTCCGTTGTCTTGTCTGGTCAAAGAGTGGCCAGGCAGCAGCTTCCCACGTGAGACAGGCAGTGGCATGAGGCACAGAGCAGTGCACCCAGTGCGGTGTCTGCACACAAGGTGCCCCCGAGGCACCTTGCTGTCTTTCTGGGCAGCTGGGCCCATGAAAATGGCCATCAGGCAAGGTGGCTCTCTGGAGAGCAGCCTCATAGGTGTAATCGGGGAAGGCTGCTTTGGCAGCTGGGGAGCATCTGATGAGAAGGTTGATGGGGAGGCAGCCAGAGGGGAATAGCCACAGAGGGTGCTCTTGGGACTCGGCCCTCTCCTAGGCCTGGTGGTCAGTGAGCCCTTTCCCCAGGCCTGCGGTGTGGACTATGAAGTCAAAGCCTTCTGCGCAGAGAACCTGGAGGAGAAGATCCACAAACGGTGAGAGGGTGTAGCTTCCGGCAGGGTGTGGCTGTCTGCCACTGGCAGAGGGAGGGAGACAGGACAGGCTGAGTACAGAAAAAGATAAGTAACAATTCCTGGAAGTGTGCTTCCAAGGAAGCACATTCCTGCCATGGCTGAGAGGTCAAGGCGGTCTTCCTGGGGGAGGTGGCTCAGTTGCTCTGGCTCGGGTCTCAGCATTTTTTCCTTCCATCACTGTACTCACTTTCACTCCCTCTTCCTCTACTCTTTTCCGCTCCAGCCCACGTGTCTTTTATTTTGTTTTAGGGGAAAAAAAAGCAACAACAAACCAGATTGTTTTAAACAATGAGTAAGAGATCGCCCAGTTAGCCAGGACCCCTGTGTTTCAGTTGTCTTGGGAGACCCTCGGTAGGAGGTGGCAGGGCTAGGGTGTCAATGGAGGCTTCTCAGCAAGGGCCATCATGCCCACAGGGCGAGCTAGTCAGCATGTAGAGGTCGGCCCTGCCTCAGGAGGGGAGGAGTTCTGGAGAGGCACAGGCCTGGGCTGGAGGTTAGAAACAGCTGGCCCTGACTCCTGGGATGAGCTGCTCGACTCCATTCTTAGGCCTTTCCCTCCTGGAGTCAGTAACTGCCTGGCCTCAAGCTCCTACCTTGTTAACACCCTTCCCCAAGTCACCAAGCTTACAGGGGCCTGGCTGGCTGCAGTCTCTTAGGGAGTGGGCTGAGTTTGCCACCTGGTGGCTCTAGGCTGTATTGCAGCTTGCCGGCCCCTTCATTTCCAGTCTGGGTTGTTCTTGTGTGGAGATGTCACTCTCCCACTTCCTTCACTGTCCGCCTTCTCTACTTAAGACCTGGCATCAGAGGAGAGAGAGGGTTTTGTGGCCTGTGAGAGTGAATCTGACCAGAGTAAGCAAGAAGTGACAACATTGGCGGCCACCACCCTCTCCCTATCACTGATGGGATATTTATGTCTACACAGTAGTTGCTACTAATAATTACATAGCAACTATCATTTATCAAGATTTTAGGTGCCAGGCATTGCACACCCATCACCCCGCCCCCTTTCTTCAGGGAGCTCCTGTGCCCTCTGCATATTTTGACTTAATGGACATTAAGTAAGCATTTACTATCGGGCAGGCACTGAGAATATAGGGCGGGCCAGGCGCTGGGAGTCAGCTGTGGACAATTTGGAGAAACACCTCTGTCCCTGGGAAGCATACATGGGTGAGTGACAGGGCTGCAGGCAGTGAAAACAGTCCCTTTGTTATCATTTGTTATCTCTGGGTACTGGAGTACACCCCACTGGGCTGCCACAGAGTGTTTTGGCCTCCTGTGTTGAGGTACTCAGATCAGAAGATCAGAGTGGGTTGGCCTGCGAAGGTTTCCTGGAAGAACAGGTACTTAGCTGGGTCTTGAAGAAGGAAATAACTGACTGCCGAAACCAGAAGGTGTATAGAAGCAGGATCCCTCTGCCAGGGAGCTTAGAGATAGGACTGACAGACCATCAGAAGATAGTGAGGAAGTTGGAGTGACAGGGCAGGACGGGAAAGGATAGAGGGGTGCCAGGTGGTACTGGCCTCCAGGGTTTGGGTTAGATTCTAAGGCCCCAGTCACCTCTCACACTGCTCTTCTCCATTAGGAATTCTGTGCGCCTGGTCATCCGGAAGGTTCAGTATGCCCCAGAGAGACCTGGCCCCCAACCCACGGCCGAGACCACCAGGCAGTTCCTCATGTCGGACAAACCCTTGCATCTAGAGGCGTCTCTGGATAAGGAGGTAGGGGGCTCAGACTGGGCAGGGCTGGGCGGGGTCTATCAGGAGAGAGACCCGCCGCTCCGTCGTGGCTGCCCGCGCTCCTGGGTAGGAGCTTCTGTCTCCTGGGACTACAGGACTCAGGGAGGCTGAGGTTTCCCATGGAAGAGCTGGGGAAGCCTCTTAGGGCCCAAAGGAATGAGGGTAGGGGGCTTGAGACTGAATGATGTGACTGACCTCAGAGTTCCACATCCCCTCTTCAAGGGCCCTGGGCGATGGCCCTCTCCCCACTCCCATCTACCCTTCTGATTGGCTGCCCTCACCCTCTTGTGGGGCAGCTGAAGACAAGTGCTTGGGTCAAGATGCAAGTTGGGGCCTTTCAGTGAAGACTGAGTGGCCAGCCCCTCCCTCCCTATCCCCTGTCCCGTCTGTACCCTCCATGTCTAAAATTGCAGGGTTTCGAGGGACGCAACACATTGCCCACCTCAGTCCCTCTATTGGACAGGGAGCAAAGCTGTTTGACAAGTGCAAGGTCACTCTGCTCTCCTCCTGACTGCTGTTGTCACTGTCATCATTATTACTGGCCCAGCCAGGACTGGACCCTCGGAGTTTCAGTTCACTCAGTGATCTTTCACGCTTCCTTCAAGGAACTGAACTCCACCATGCCTCGTGGCTGAGGCCAGTGTCAGGAGAGCCAAGGTGCAGGGTTCCCCAGGAGAGGCGTGTGGGAGATGTCCTCCTCCCTCCTCTCCAAACCTCGCTTGTCACACCTTTCAGATCTATTACCACGGAGAGCCCATCAGTGTCAATGTCCATGTCACCAACAACACCAACAAGACAGTGAAGAAGATCAAGATCTCGGGTACCGGGCAGAGGGCTGGCTGGGGCAGTCAGAGGCCATCCTCCCAAGGGTTGGGGTGGTGGAAAGCTCTCCCTTGTTTCTAGCCTTGTAAATAACCACTGGCCAGCAGGGGCTTTGAGGCTGGCGACATGGCTGCCTGCTGGCCAGGTAAAGAGTTCAGCGTTTAAGCCGCTTTTCAGGCTCCCTGGTTTCTGGGCAAAGCTGTCCTTGAGGGGAAGGGTTTTTGCTTCTGCCAGGGGATGGGTGTGTCTGGGCTGCCCTCCTGCCGCTGGATGGGGGCAGTGACCTGCCAAAGCCCCAGTGACTCTGGCAGGTGCTCTGGGCTCACACCACCACTTTCCCTGTTTTCCCCAGTGCGCCAGTATGCTGACATCTGCCTTTTCAACACGGCCCAGTACAAGTGCCCTGTGGCCATGGAAGAGGCAGAGTAAGTGAGCACAAGCCCAGGCTTGGACATGTGGGAGTGGCTGGGGACACAGGGAAGCCGGGGTCCAGTTCCAGGCCCAGCGTGGCTGTTGCCACCGGCAGAGGGCTGGGCCACACTCTCCTCCCCACTCAGAGTAGCTGATCCCACACTGCCTTTTAGAAGCCACTCACTGATTTAGCTACAAGAACACGTGTGTTCCGGTCAAGAGAAAGATCCACTAAAGCTAGAATAATGAAACAGAGCTAATTAATCTCAGGAAACTCAGGTCATCTTTGCACTGTACAAAGTACAGTGGAATCCAGCTTGAAGGGAGCCACTTTGTGCTGAGCTTCCCGACGGCCATGGCATAAAGGACGCAGAAGTAGGTACACAGCTTTCCTGTTTAATAAAGGAATAACTCAGCTCTCTGGGCAAAAAGGGAGGTGAGAAAGGCTAGTACCCCTGCACCAAGGCCACATGGGAGATAAAGCAGAACAATTTCCACCGGAGGGCCCAGCTGGGGAGTGTCTAGGTGTGTTCACTGCATCATTCTTTCAACTTTGCTGACTTTAAATTTTTTCATGATATAATGTTAGAAAAAAAAAATCCATGTTCTCTGACCAATAAATCATCCTAAGCAAAGAGCGCAGGGCCACGCAGCAGACTTAACACTGTGCAGACGGCAGCTCATTACCAAGCGTGAGGTTGCTGGCTCGCCTGAGTCACTGTGTGCGTGGAGCAGGCTTATGCCTCCTGGGTGGTGGCAGCGACCTGCCGGAGCTGGGCCTGGCTCACGGTCACCTTTCCGTGGGGTAGGAGCAGGGCCAGCTCCAGGGCCTCAGTGTGTGTGGAGATGTTTCTGAGGGCGGGGCGGGGACATCTCCACATCTGCCTTTCTTCTTTGCAGCGACACAGTGGCTCCCAGTTCCACCTTCTGCAAAGTCTATACCCTCACCCCCTTCCTGGCCAACAACCGAGAGAAGCGAGGCCTTGCCCTGGACGGGAAGCTCAAGCATGAAGACACCAACCTGGCCTCCAGCACCCTGTGAGGCCCCGCCTGCCCCCGTCCCAGTCTTTCAAGGATGCTCACCCGGCCCGCAGCGTGTCTGCACTCGCCCCAGCCCCACCAGCGCAGCTCAAGGCTTGGGTGACCCAAAGCATTATCCTCAGGAACTTAAACTGCAGGGGAAGTTGTCCCCTACACCTACTCCTAACCAGGGGTGACCTGGAGAGTAAGATGGACCCCTCAGTTTAGTCAGTGCTGAGCTGTGCTGGCTTGTCCCGGGGAGGGCAACCCGGAGAGGCTTCCTGTAAGAGGTAGCAGCTCCACAGATAGTGTCTTGTCAGATGGGGTGTGTCCCTTAAGAGAGTGGTTCCTGGCAGGGTCCGAGCAGGGAAGGATGGACCAGTTGGGGGCTGGAGAGAAAGAGGCCATGAGCTAGGCTGCACCAGATGTGGGGTACCCTTCAAAGGCAGGGATCCCAGTGCTAAATGATCACTCTTGCCCAGGTCATGACTGTCGGGGGCTACCCTACTGTAGCAGAGTCCTGAGTGTGTGGGGTGCTCACCTTGCCTGCCCTGTGGGGCTTCTGCTGCCTCTGCAGCACCCCGGCCCCACTCCCCCACAGGCCCCTTGCTCAGCCAAAGTGGCCTTCACCACCCCCCTGGCACTTTTCTGCACCCTGCTAGGGCCCTACCTGTGTCCAGACCTACTTGAAGGCACCCCCTCCTCCAGGTGTCTTCCCTGTCACCCCCTTCTCCCCACCCTCTGAGCTCTGGGGGAGCAGAGTTGGCAGAACCTGCCCCTCCCACGGGACTCAGGCGGGGAGAGGAAGAGCCGCCCGCAGGCAGAGGCTGAAGCCAGGCCTCCAGCTCTCTTTGCCTGGGTGGCCTGAGAGGCTCTCTTACCCAGTGAGCCGCCATGAACCTCGTCTCCCATGTCACCTTGCAGGCTGAGGGAAGGCGCCAACCGAGAGATCCTGGGCATCATTGTTTCCTACAAAGTGAAAGTGAAGCTGGTGGTGTCTCGGGGCGGGTGAGTGCCCCAGCCCAGCCCCAGGGCCCTGAGTGAGGGGGCGAGTGCAGGGTGGGGTCCCTGAGGCCCCTTCTGCCTGGTTAGGGACCTCTTAGCCTCCTGGACAGGGCCTGGAGTTACCCTGTTTCTCCTCTTCCACCCTCCAGCTCCTCTTCCCCACCCCTTCCCCTCTCCCACTTCAGAGGCTCCTCCCCCTCCCTCCCCTTACCTTCTCCTCTTCCCCAGCCCCTAACCGGGTTCACTGGGTGATGAGGAAGGGGTGTTTCTCTCAGAGGCCCTGCTGTGGAGTCTCCAGGAGGTGCATGCCCCTCACCACATCGTGGGCCCAGCACCCTCCACACCCCTCAAGCCCACCCTGTCCCCCTCAACCCCTTGCTGGTCGTGCTCAGGTTGACCTTCTGGGGAAATCGCTAAAGGAGCTCAGAATCCCAGAGCTGGACTGAGGTTCCTGTGTCACAGATGGGGAAACAGCTCCCCAGACACTTGCTGAGCTCCTCCCTAATCCCTGGAGTGGGCTGGGTGCTGGGGTCCTGACAGCAGACCTGAATATCCCCTGCCCTGGAGCATGGTCTGGTAGAAGCTCTAGGTTATACGCCTAGAATTAGGATTTCTGCCTCGGCAGAGGGATTCCGCAACCCTCCCCCCTGCCAAGTTCATCCATCTCTATGAAAAGACTGAAAAGCGTTAGACACTGAATGCCCTTCATTGGCACAGTAACTCTGCAGGTGGCAAG